GAAAGAGTTCAGGTTGCTAGAAACCATCCAGTCCACTTTTTATTCAATACACCCGACATGTCTGCCTTTAACTCACTGACCCTCTGGACTCACACAAACTACACCTTCTACTTTGCAGATAGTAGCTTTTCAAATATTTATTTGTTTGACTTATGTCGTTAGTGATTACAGAGTAATACATGTGCTTATCTATTTCAAAGATTTCTTTGACTTCTCAAAAACTACCCAGTAAAATTAAAACACCAGGCACACTTTATAGGTGTTCTTTTGGAAATCTTGACTTTGATTCTTATAACCACCCCCATGAAACAGGCAAGGAAAGTCTCATCCTCCCCATGTAAAGAATCATCAATACTTGTATAGAGCAGGAGTTGAGAGTCACTATAAGCAGATTTAGGAGCCAAAGAGACCTGCCTCTTAAGAGCTATGTGATTTTAAGCAAGTTATTGAACTTCTCTAAACCTGTTTCTTCATCTGAAAACTGGGGATATTATAATAGCTCCTATATCATACAGTTATTTTTCTTGTGAAGATCAACTAGATAATGCACATTATTTTAGAATAACTAACCTATATAAACACTCAATATTAGTTTTTATTATTATTATTATGCAAAATGAAAAAAACTAGCAAATAACTGATTCTCTCTGTATCTCAGAGCAGCACTAGATAGAGGAGGTTCTCTGTTCTACCTACATTGTCTTCCACAAAACCAAAAATGTTTTTAGTTATTGCACCTTAATCACTACTTCTCATCACCCACTCCGTCACCCCTTAGCCAACCAAAATTCCTAAAATCTACTATGTAATCCTCTTCCAAAAGAAATTCTCAAAAGTACAACATTGCTAAAGCTCTCACTTAGAAAAGTAAATGCTCAGTGGAACATAATAAAGTTCCACTATAATTAGTATGCAACCATAAGGACATTTATATGTAAAATGGAAAGTATCATGTTAATTGCTAAACAAGCTGGCTTCTCTAACTGACTATTATTAGATTATCTTTTAAATACTTTTTCTGGTATCTTCCAATGGTAGAGATTGCTATTTTATTGTTTGTGAAACCAAGTGCAACAGGAGAAACCTGTTTCACCTATCAAAACTATCGACAATGTTGATAAGACATATAAAATGCAGGCCAAAATTTAAAAACACAAAAAAAAACCTAGAGGCCTAGGCTCATTAGTGAAAAATTAAGCTGCATAACTCCTGCATAAAAATTTTATAGGCTCACTAGTATTGGCAAATTTGTGGTCCTAGGATTTGGATAATAATATCTAATTTCATTTTCCCAGTAACTACCAGGAAGCCAGTGTTAGAGTCAGTTGTAGGATACTGAGGGGGGAAACGAATGGAGGAAAGAAGACATAACTGGATTACAATCAGTACCCATTTGATGGGCAGTAATACATCTTTGTACAGAGAGAGTAGGACAAAGGCAAATCAAAGCATTAGTCCAAAGTTGGTGATTAACAACAGGACAAATATGAGACAAAGATTTAAAATGAGAAAAGAAGTTTGTGGAAATAAAACAACCTAAGAAACCATATTGTTGCCAGTATATGTATAGGCTCCCTTTAATGGTTGACCTCACTACAGTATAATCTATTCAAAGTGTCAGACCAAAATAAATTTACTACCGAGAAACAAACTACTCAAGGAAATAGCTAATAACCACTTTAACAACAATTTGCATTTACATAATGCTCTTAGCAGAGGGCCTCAAGATGTCAAATACATCTATAATAAATACTCTATATAGGCTTATCAAAAACTAGTGTTATGTGTCTCTTAAACCTTAAAAACAAAAACCACAGGTTTGTATTTTTTCTAAAAATAGTGTTTGTTATTTGCATTCTCTGTAGTGGAAGTCTGATTGTAAAGTCCTGTAATTTTGATCACTGCTAATAATGAAGGCAGGATGTAAGTGTATATGTGGGGTAGGGAAGGGGTTGAAAAATCATTCACTGGTACATGAATGAATTCTACACTTGCCTTTTAAAATGTGCTCCTTTCTTGGAAATTTGGCACACAAAAAAATCCCTCTGGGTTTGCATTACTTTCATATTTATGACTACTTCACATGACAGTCTTGAAAGAGCCAGACACTTGTTTTTAGTCAATGCCAGATAGACTATTTTCACCACAAATTCCAACAACTAATGGGTGTGTGTATGGTGTGTATACATACATATACACACACATTACATGTATGTGTATATCTTTAGAAAATGTTTGCACAGTTTAAATTAAGGACATTAATGTCACATTTTCTACTGCAAAAAAAAAAAAAAAGAAAAGAAAATTTGGAAGGATTCTAACGAACTCAATTTGTGAAGCCTAACAGGTCTCAAAAAAAAAAACAAAAAACCACCCAACTCTGTGCTGACATGATTAGCTGCTCCATTCAATTGGTGTGAGGTATCTGAGGCGTGCTGCATCTGACTCTTATCATGCTATTGGGTGTGCTAGCTTGTGGAGCAGTTCAGATGAAACGGCTGAAGGCTCCTAAAATGACGGACAATATACTTTACATGTCAGGGCTTAAAAAAATGAGGAAAACAGGACTGCAAAGACACCATTCATACTTGTTCTGGAACCAAAGATCATCCCAAACTCTTTATCAACCATCCAGAAGTAACCCAGCTTTTTACCAACCAAGCAGTTATTTACTATAGCAACTTCATTACCAAGATCACCAAAATTTTCCACACACTTCCAACAGTCTCTGTATGTGTTGTTACCTGGGCAACAGTCTTTAGGTCTTTTACCTTTATAGAACTAGTGGGTCAAAGCGAGTAAAGCTGCTTCAAATTGACTGCATCATTTTAATTAGAAGCAGCAAGTGTGAAATCAAAAGCAGGCAGAAAACCTTGAGAACTAGCACCAGTGCTTCAGTGTGATTAACAGACACAACTTACTGCCATTTGTCTTCATTTCTGGCCACTTAATTCCCCTGTGGAACAAGACAAGCTCCATCAGGGACTTCAAAATATCCTCAGACATCCAGGCTGGGACACACGTTAGTGATGACATCCAAGGAAGTTCTGAGTAAAGAATCTATGAATCCCTGGGCAGCCTGCTGTGGTCTGAAACGCCCTGCCCTTGCGGCCCTAAATTTCGAAAGCTGGTCAGCTTAGCTGTGGATTTGTATAAACTGCCTTCCTACCTGAGCCAGACCTGCCTCCAAAAATTAAGACACAGTCATTTAGAAATCACATTTTACATGTAGATGGCGCTTTGAAAAGACTCTCAAAACTGCTTCCTGCTCTGATACAGCCAATCTGATGCCGTCTATTTGGCAAAACAAAAAATAATGGTATCTCCTTACAAAGAAAATATTGTTCCCTTTCCGACAGTTTTAGGAGTGGTAAGCTCAAGGTTGTTTCCCTAGCATGGATATTTTTGCCTTCAGCTTTGACTCTAAGAATCAATACCTAAGTGCTCTCTGGGTCATATTCTAATCAGGAGCACAGCATATAAAGTTTATTAAATGCTAAGAAGTACTGGGTGAGTCCAGAGACAAAAATGAAAGAAACTGAAAAGCAGAAAGGAAAACTGGCAATCAAGGCTCTTCGCCATCTGGTGCTGACTCTTTCTTGCCTGGCTCGTCCCTCCATGCCTTTGATCACCCAGGCCCAGAAAGGCCTTTCTCTCCATCCTCTTTGTCTTATTTCAACATGTCCAAATCCTACCCATTCTTCAAAGCATGGTTTAAAAGTCACCTTTTCCCTTATCCTTCAACTAAAAGTAATCTCTCCCTCCTCTCTCTAAACTCTGGTAGCACCTTATCTTTATCTCTTTACCACACATTACTTTCTGCCTTATATTATCTTTGTTTTCACATTAAACCTCCACATGAGCACAAAGGCCTCAGGGTCAAGGTTCATGCCTTATTCATCTCTATTCAGACTGTTTAACACAATGTCTTGCACATTATCAGGCACTCCAACTGAGCTACATGAATGGCTTGGGTTAAGAGAGGAGAGAAGTCCACTAGAAACAACTCCAAATCAGCCATCCAGAGACTAATAGTTACCTGTATGACCTTGAACTTCAGTCTCTTAGTAAGTATATCTGCAAAGTGAAGAGATGGACTAAACCACTGTAGGATGTTACTTTAGCTGGCTGTAAAATCAATTTGGGGTCAAAACTCATCATTTTTTAAATAAAATGAATAGCACCGAAAATAGCAAAGTGTGGCGTAGGCAGTGGTGTGCTGTAAATGTTTAACAACTGGCTATCCAGAGGCGGGAAAGCCCTGAACTGTACCATTTGCGGGTTTCCCTGGTGTAAACACTCCCACCATGGCCAGTTTCAAGCGACCAACATGATGTCACTGAACATGGAGCAAAGTGGGAAGAGAAGGGCATAATTGCTCTTGCAAACCAGCATGATGAGCCAGCTCCAGTAAGGTCCTAAAAAGGTAAGTATTGTTTCATCAAACTTTTCTTTCCACTTCGTGTGTGTGTGTGTGTGTGTGTGTGTGTGTGTGCGCGCGCACGCCTGCCCGCGCGTGTGTGTTGAATCAGGGTATATGTATTTCTTACTGTGAGTCACAAACACTTTAGGCAGTATTCAGCAAACCTTGTCTCTGCTATGTGGGCTACACAATGCAGTAAATCTTACTCTCGGTTGTATATGTACTCTCTTCACCACAATTTCTATTTCTCTTCAAAAAATGAGAGTAACAGAGATGCCTACACCAGACATCACCAGAAGGCAAATTACAGGGAGTGGAAACTTGGCTTAGGAAGTATCAGCGAAAGGCCAAGGCTCTCAACCTTTGTTCAGCCCACACACCTGAGGGACACAACATATTCCTACAAGTAGCAGTGGCGCTTTTACTGATGGGTTACGGGGAGAAGAGGAAGAAAGGAAGAGGAAATCTACAGTATGAAAAAAAATCCAAGTATTGTGATATTTGTGCCCATGCCCCCACCCCACTGAGAACCTGGGTACAAAGAAAAACAGGACGGTAAAAATGTAACTTTCCATACCTGATGTTTCCCAGCCAAATTCTCCAGCATAAGTTTTCATCAGTCAACGAGACCTCCTTTCTGAGAATTCCCGAATGGAGTTAAGTTTTTGCCATGGATTAGACACTTGTAGTGCTTGTTGAATTTGGAATAGGCAAGAGGGAAAACACCACAGCAAACAGTTGTTAGGCTTGATATTCTGGGAAAATCAGGCTTTTATTGAAAAAAATACTTTCCTGTTTTCTTCTTATTTAAGCTTACTAAACTGGGCGAGGAGAGGGGAAGTTTCTTGAATATATTTTTGGCTGTACTATGTATATCACAACACAGTCTGTAACCAGATTTTTTATAAGTGTTTATAAAGAATTGTTTTCTATTTTTAAGGCTATTTAGAAAATAAGAAGACTCAGAATTTCAAATATACTAATAATCTCAGTCCAAATCTAACTCCAAATCAACTGAAATGTATGCTTACAAATTTCCCAGGAAAATCCCCAAAAATTACACCACAAAGCCCAAAAAAGTTTCCAAAAAGGAGTCAGCATGAGCACCAACTTGCTATACTTAAACAATTATGGCATCCTATCGCCATAATGCTGAATGAGTACAACATGAAAAGTAAAGAAGTATGAAAAGGAGAATGCTGAGATACAACTTCTACTTAATTCCATTTACTCTTCCTTATTAGAGTCCGCTTTTCTTCACATACTTATACCCAATTGCAAATACTAACCATATAGTGAAAATTATTCCTCACTCTGAAAAGCCAATAGTCAAATCAAGTCTCCAAGCTCAGAATATTAAATCTCTCCTTAAAAACTGAGGATGTTTTACCATAACTCAGGCTCAAGTCTGTACTTTCTCTGCCTCCACTGCTCTGATGGCAAATGCTCATAAAACTATCTCCATAAGAAATTTCTGAGCTATCTCTGAGGTACCGGAGGCTGGAATAGCCTTGGGCTGCTGGTCATCCTCAGACCCAGTGGATAACCTATTTATATAAGGCATGAGCTATACACATATAGCAACTCATTAAAACTTGTGGGACATAGCAAAAAAGCTCTATGCCTGGGAATCCCACAGGCTACAATATCGATTTCATTCTCCAAACACGCTCTACCTAGCCATAATCATCCCCACATCACTTCAAGACAATGGAATGCAAGCCCAGCTCTGCACCCTCAATACAAGAAATTTTTGCTACTTAGCTACTACTCTCTGCACAGTTAATCTCTAGAAGCCTGGCTATTCTCCCACTCACACTATTTTTACTTGGCACTACAGAATTCCTTCTTTTGACTACTCCAAAAGAATGGTTAAAAAGACTTTCAGTTTTAATGCTGCAACATCTGAGTCCAAATAAATATACAGTAATTTAACAAGTTCAAGTTTGGGTTAAGGCAAAGAAAAAAATTCAAGTACAAGTTTTTAGAAGTCACAAGTTCAGAATTAGTGAGCTGATAAACATGAAAACTCCTGTTTTACATGCCAAATAAAATTCTGTCATTCAAATGAAAAACATCTTAATAACTACTAAAGTGAAAAGAAAAAGATATGAATCATGAAACAACAAAGGAATAAAAATTCTCAGAATATCACAACTATAACATATAAAAATTGTCATCAAATAACTCAGGCTCCAAGAAAACGTCATACATTTATAGTAACAGCTTTTTACGTTGATTGGTATATTCACTACATGTCCCAATAGTACTGGGACCTACTACCTGATTCCAGCTTTCCAGAATACAAAGTAGGCTATATAATATATTTACATATAACCACTGCCCAACTACATCCAATTCTCTGCCAGATGATTTATTAATACATAATACCAGAACACATTTTGAACTGATTTAATATAGATACCAGTCTTACTCAGAGTCTCAACTGACTCCCCAAGAAGGTAAGCATTTAACACAATTTGATGATAACGTATATATGAAATTCATCTGGTCTTTCTCCTTTGCAATTTCATCATCAGTTTCATATGGGACTATCTATTGAGATCATGAATCTCAGTTTTCCAGGGATAGTAACTTGTGGACCAGTATTTTCCATGGACAAAATCCACTTGCAACTTAACTACAAGCAAACTTCACGTTTCTATCTTCTGGTGTCATCATATATCTACAGAAGTACAGCAGACACCAAATACAAACACTATTATGAGAAAAGTCGGGAGGTTTGCATGAAATGGTGTTTTCAGAATTGTAACAAGCAACTACCTACCTCCCACCATGTACGAGAAAATTTAAATGCATTAAAAATGCCTCAACGTGGGGTGACCGGTTAGCTCAGCTGGTTAGAGCGCGGTGCTGATAACACCAAGGTTGCCGGTTCAATCCCCGCATGGGCCGCTGTAAGCTGCGCCCTCCTTAAATAAATATTTTTTAAATAAATAAAAAATAAAAATGCCTCAACTTCCCAGTACCAACCAAAAAACAAACAAAAACAAAAACAAAAACGCAGGCCTTGAAATCAGTTTCCAGTCAGCGCTGAAATCTGTCAAGCAAGCAAAAGTTTTCTTCTCTACCATTAGTGTCCATGAGGTTGGCATTTATTTCCCTTCCCGGGCATGAATCCCCAGCTCTGCCGCTGACCACCTTCCGTCTGGGACATTTTCTAAGACAATCCTCTCCGAGAGGCACAAGGGGGAAACACACGCACCTGGACCACGCTGCCCTGGGATCAGAACCAGCGCCAGCCCGCTCCCCGCGCACCCGGCCGCCTCCCGCTGGCCGGTGGCCCCTTTCCACATGCTGACGCACTGCTGCCCGGCCCTGCACCGTTGGCGACCCGTGCAAAGTCCTAGCCAAAGTCTCAGAAAGTTTGACTCCGTTGTCAGGGCGCGGAGCACCCACAGCCTGGACGAGGGGTGTCTGCCACGGCCAGGCGGTCAACTTTGAAGCGGGACATTCCTTGCAGGTAGAGATCTGCCCAGGATGCAGCCCATCCCAGCCTTGCAAAACCACAAGCATCAACAGCCGGAGCGGAGTGCTGGGCGGAGGCAGGGGGAGCGCGAGGGCGAGACCTGAGTGTGAGCAAGAACATACCCTAACCACACGCAGCCCGGACGCAGGGCTGCTGGGACCGCGAACCCGGCAGCAGCCACGACGCGGCAGCGGCTGAGGCGGCGGCAATGTCAGGAGGGCACAGCTGGAGGCGAGCGCCCCAATCGCTACCCCGCCCCCAGGTGAGGGGCACCGACCCCGCCCGCCCGGGCCGCTCGCAGCGGCCAACCCGAGAGGACGGCGGGGTCCGCGCGGCGATCGACAGTCCCGAGCTCGCCCCGTGCCCTCCTCCCGATGTCCTCTCGCAGCCCATCCCCGGCCCGGCCCCTCCTCAACCCACTCCCGGCTCAGCCCCGACGCCAACACCCCCGGCCCGCTCGGCCGCTCCGGGCCGCCCGTCAGCCCGCCGGCCCTGAGGAGGCCGCCCTCACCTCACCTCCTCACGTCTCCGCGTGAGGGCCGCAACAACTCTGCCAGGCGCCCGCGTCCCACCCGGCGTCCGCGCTCTGCGGCCGGGTAGGTCCCGTTCACTCCGCGGCCGCCAGAGCCCCGGGAGGGCGGAGGGAGCGGGGCGGAGGGAGCGGACAGGGAGGGGGAGAGGCCTCTGGCAAGAAGAGGCGAGGGAGGGGGCGGGCGGAGGAGGAGGTGCGTCGGGAGCGCGCGCGTCCGGGCCTCTCGGCGCGGCGTGCGCGCTCTCGGTGGCGGTGGCGGGGGCGCGCGCGCGTGCGCGCGGGCCGGCCTGGCCGTGGTTGGGCTAGGAGCGGGAGGGTGAGCCGCGGTGGAACCTGGATGATTGGACTAGGGACCCGGGAAGGGGCGAGAGGGGCTCACGGCGCCTCAGAACCTCCCCGAGGGCCTTCCGCGCCCTGAGCCGGCCCGCGCGGGCTCGCGGAGGGGCGGCCCCCAGCCCGAGCGAAGTGGGCTGAAGCCCTGCCCAGCGGTTACTGAGTCCCTGGAGAATTCCGAGTTGGGGGCTCGTTTCCTTGCTCACAGCCTGGTTGACGCATTTTCATTCATGCCTAGTCAAACTCAGGGGCGCCACCTTAAAGAAGACGAACTCTTCTCTCCAGTGAGTCTTTTCTGTGCCCCTTTAACGGTGTCGCGTCCTCCTGAAACGCTCCCTTGTTGGTTGGTTCTGTGGGACTCGGGGGAGGTAGAAGAGGGGAATAGACGGCGGGGAGCCAACGGGAAAGCGCTGAGCCCTGGTTGGTGTTTGTATAAAGAGAACGTGCCCTCGTCTGCGCCTCTTCATCCTCTGAGGCAATAAATGGGGGCATACAAGCTAGGCAGAGATAAAATAAACCAGCTCTTCTTCCTCTACGAATACCGTACTGATCCTTGAACTGTAGACTTCCTCCTAGATTCTGCAGCCAGAAATGACCTGTAAATGTTTCCAGTTATCTAAGCACTTCATTTCTATAAGTTTGTGGCACCTAATAGTCAACCTTATCTAGGTAAATCGGGGCGGTATTTTATCCCCCTAGAGAATCCTTGAGAACCTGTTTCAATGCTTTGTATATCTTCCACATGCCTAGCATAGTGGTGGACTCCTAGAAAGCACTCCACAGATGCTATTGCGTGAATAAGTGAATATAGGGCAGCAAGATTTAAGTATATGTCTAATGATTTGAGCTCTAGAGTGTCTTCTTTAGTTTAAAACTCTCCCCCTGTCCCACTTCAATTCCTGTGCAATCATTTGTCCACCTAGATCCAAAAGCTACCCTGAGAAATATGACATTTGCCCAAAGGGCCCTCTCTCTCAAGTTCTTCTTCTTTTTTCCTAATTTAAATGTCTGTGGATGCTGGGACATATTGAGTGTGGTATTTTCCCTCCCTGAGGAGGTCCTTCCTCTGTATCCCAAAAATCTGCCTAGCTGTGGGCCTGACTCAAATGCTGGAAGTTTGATATTTAATAAAGTTAGAGTTTGAATAACTCAAATAATCTGTAGATTTCCTGAGACATACGGTATCTATTAATAAACCAGCCAACAAGCAGGTACTGAGTCTCTACTAAAGAAAGTACTGGTAAAGTTACACTGGGCACCGTGAGAAAGTCACCAGATTGAAAAGGCTATAGTTTCTGCCTTCTGATATCTTCTAACTAGAGAGAAGCTTTTTGACAAAAAGGGCAACACAGTGGTAATTATCTGCACTCAGAAAGAAAGTTAGCCAAAGAAAAAAGGAAATAAAATGTTTAAATGGTAAGTCCCAAGTAAATTTGAAGTCCTAAATTCAGGTCCATATGTCTCTGAAAGCTATCATAATGGCTGCCATTGGCTGTTGCCAGTAAATTCTTCTATTAAAGTGGAGCATGGCATCTAAGTCACTTACAGGATCAATCCATGTGCCAGCTTGTTACATGGAAGAGAAAAACTCTGTCCCATGGCCACATGTCACACCTCTAATCACCAGGGGTCGTTCTGTAAAACTGAGCTGTTTCTCACAATAGAAACTAGATAAGAGACCAGTCACAAGAGAACCTAGATAAGAGATGTCACAAGAGAACCTAGATAAGAGACACAAAGGTGATTTCGTCCAAGCTCATCCTTACCACCAGGAAAACGGTGCTAAGTACATGCCAAAGAATAACAAAACATTCTTCATATAATGTGCACTGCTCACTTCTCTCCCCACTGTGACTTCCTTTACATTTAAAATATCCTAACAGCCCTGGGCCATAAAAGGGCTGAAGCTCTTGCTTTGGGGGAAGGTGTTATAAAATATTCTAGCATGACTCATAGCATGACAGAAACCGGTGGCCTAGGGCCAGATATAACTCACAAATGTATTTTGTTTAAGCACATGCATGGTGCTTCAAAAAAAATTAGCCAAAGGTAAAAGTTAAAAGTCAGAAGATTTCACATGCATTCCACACTTCTCTTTAAAAAGTGGAAGATTTGTTAACAGTGGACTTACATTTTCACCTGGTGACAATCAACGAATGACAGGACATACCCTCTCTTTTTTCCCCCCAGTTTCTACATTCTCTGTTTTACCATCTACTGCCCCATTTTCCTCAACTCCCAATTTAAAATATCGTAATATCAAAAAACTAGAAACAAGTTTAACGTTGAACAAAAATGGAAGAGTTTAAATTATAATATTTAATGGGGTGGAATATTATAATACTTTTATAATGGGCATCATTAGTTGACTGCCCAGCATGTGTTTCTCCTACTCTGCAATTGTGAGGCAGCTGTCAATGTAAGACTATCCAAACCTATGAAGAACTTTCATAAGAATTTATTTGAGCCAAACTGACAATTGCCAGGAGGTAAGATTTCAAATGCTCCGGAGAAGGACTGTTTTGCAGTTTCCGTTATACATTTGAAATTAAGGAGGGAATGTCAGGGAGATTACATTAAGGTGGGAGAAAGCAAGGTGGGGATTAGATTACAGAATAGTCAAGATGATGTGCTCTCTTGAGAGTGGTTGCACCTTTGAGGGGCATTTCAAAGGTGTTAACCTAGATGTGTAAGGACAATGGACAGAATTTGTTTTAAAACCTTTC